GCATCACCACCATCAGTGCAGCACCACAGCATCACAGCACCACCATCAGTGCCATCCCTGCATCACCGCCATCAGTGCATCACCACCATCACTGCATCACCACCAACAGTGCATCACCACCATCAGTGCAGCACCACCATCAGTGCAGCACCACCATCACCACCATCAGTGCAGCACCACAGCATCACAGCATCACAGCACCACCATCAGTGCCACCCCTGCATCACCACCATCAGAGCAGCACCGCCATCAGTGCCATCCCTGCATCACCACCATCAGTGCAGCACCACAGCATCACAGCATCACAGCACCACCATCAGTGCCATCCCTGCATCACCGCCATCAGCATCATCAGTGCAGCACCGCAGCACCGCCATCAATGCAGCACCGCCATCAGTGCCATCCCTGCATCACCATCAGTGCAGCACCGCAGCACCACCATCAGTGCCATCCCTGCATCACCATCAGTGCAGCACCACAGCACCGCCATCAGTGCCATCCCTGCATCGCCACCATCAGTACAGCACCACCATCAGTGCAGGACCACCATCACCACCATCAGAGCAGCACCGCAGCACCGCCATCAGTGCATCACCACCATCAGTGCCATCCCTGCATCACCACCATCAGAGCAGCACCACCATCAGTGCCATCCCTGCATCACCATCAGAGCAGCACCACCATCAGAGCAGCACCGCAGCACCGCCATCAGTGCAGCCCCCCACGCCCCCCCCCATCCCCGCAGCGCCGCGCCGCAGCGCCGTGCCGTACCTCGTCCTGCTCCTCGTGCTCCAGGATGGCCTGCAGGAAGGCGCGCCGCTCGTGGCTGGACGATTTCTGGTCGAACATCCCGGCCTGGATCACCTTCTGGTCCACGTTCAGTTTGTATTTGGCGGCCGCCAGGATTTTCTCCTCCACGCTGTTGACGGTGCAGAGGCGCAGGACGCGCACCTCGTTCTGCTGCCCGATGCGATGCGCCCGGTCCTGGGCCTGCAGGTCCTGCGTGGGGGG